AAAAAAAAATATTGATCCTTTTACTTAGTCCTATCATCGTAACAAATATAATTAAAATATTGATAACAATAAAATATGAAAACGACCTATATAAATAAGTATCAAATGAAAAATTATTTTTATATTTTAAAGTTTTCTTTCTCCAAGTTAAGAATGAATTCAAAATGTTTGTATATCTTAAAATATGCCATTTTACTAATATTTAACTAAAACTAGTTATGGTTCATGAACCACAGATAAAAATGCTGTATGTAAACAAATTTTTAATTGTTCCCGCCAGGTACCTATATCATTATTTGTAATTTATATTTCATCTAATCGGTATATAAATCAGTAAATCTAAACATATTCTATATTTTGTGCATTACTTTTTACTATTTCCATGGCTAAAAATGAACTCAGTATACATAATTTATGATAAAAAGGTTTATTATAAACCTATTGACACTATTGTATTGTGGACTGTAGTTTCTGGTTCATGGAAATAACAAATACAGTCGTATAAAGTATAGACTTTAGTATAATGACCGAATTTTATAAACAAATTCTCTACCATGCGCGCAAATAATTTTTCTAGAAAATAATTATTCTTTGATACCATTCGACCATTAGAGTACTTTTGATTTTTGAACCATTATGGTGGTTAATAAATGATTTAATGCTATACATTCGATACCACTATTTTTTTATCGATACAAGTAAAATATTGATAGATACAATAAGTACTTGTATCGAAAGAAATGTATCGATACTTTTTTAATATCAGTAGTATCGCAACATCCATAATCACGAGGGCTCTTCTGTAAATTGTTGTCTTTTCGTGAACACTGATAGTATGTTTATGTTGCTGTGATGTTTCAAACACTGTTTTAATTTGTTTCCTTGTCAATCAATCTTGTTGTCCAACAATGTTTCATAGCGGCCCTTCTATAGGTCAGTGACTAAGTGTACCTTTTGGCCAAAAGAAGAGGAACAATGCCGAAACGTCACACATGGTATGGCAGAACTTGCATCTTATTCCTTCTACACCCGATTAATACATTTTTTATTTACTTAAACCACTACAATGTCAAATCTTCAACATAATGGCAACTTGAGGTAATTTATGTAAATATTAAACTTTATCTTCCATTCAAAATAAGAAAATAAATATATATATTTTTTATAACTTCTAAGGTAAAAAATTCCATTAAACTATTTTATGTTCTCCTTTCATCATATACAACAATTATTGTTCAATAATCTTTTTCAGAAATGCTCCTGCGAAGAGTGTCCTTGATGTGGTGATATAGATATTGGCAAATAGTGGTGTATCAAGTCGACTGAGTGATCCAGTAATAGCTAAAAATTTCTCATTATTAATTGATATTAATGGTATTAAAGATGACATTAAAGAATTTTCAAGGTCTGAATGCTATAAAAATTTGTAGAAGTAAATATTTCCTTTTAATAAAACTATTAAATAACTTATTAATTTTCATAAAACATTAATTATTCATATAAACATTTAAACTTGATTAATAAAAAGTCAGAAATAAAGCATAAATTTAAATATTTTTTTATATTTCTATAATATTTTAATAAGTTATATAACAATCATATTTATACCATTAAAAATGAAAATGTGATCTCCGACTCCCGGAGGAATTTTGATTTAGGTAAATGAAAAAAAAAATCTCAGTTTTGAAAAGAACCATAAAGAAAATTGAATCATAATAATATTATTTGGTTATTAAAGGAGAGTAATTATATAAAGAATATATATAGTTAATATAATTTATTTAAAATTTTTAAATTATTTTAAGTAAATTACAAAATTATCATGTATATACTATTGAAAATGTAAAGTGGAAAATAAAAAAAGGTTACTTAGCTCCTGAAACAATTTTGATTTTGATAGATGATAAAAATATCCCAGTTCTGAAAAGAAAACATATCAGATTTATTATGATAATTTTTGTAAATTATAGAATTTGATTTTTATACCATTAAATATTTTAAGTCTAAAATTCAAAAACCAAAACGAAAAGGGGATCCCCTGCTCCCGGAGGAAAATTGATTTGGGTGGATCCAAAAAAAAAAATCCAGGTTCTGAAAAAGAA